CGTGCCTATTTATGTACGAAAAAAAATATTATTAATAATGTACAAGTATCTTAGTGAATTGTGGCGATCTTAGCTAAGAATACTTAACAATATAGGTCAATGATATCATCGATGTCTGATGGGTCATCTTTTTTACTGCCATATGTGATTGATAATGCTTGAAGCCGGGTAATTTCAAGGCCAACCACCCTATGCCATGTATTCCGGAAATCTGTTAATGCTTCACATTCTGATTCCAGGTTATATCGAAGTATATACTCTTCCAAAATCGTAACATTGGTCTTGCATTTTTGTGACTTCATAATTAATTTATATAACTCATTTCTATATTCTACATTAAGCTTAGACAATTCTAAAAGTAGATCTAATAATTTCAAACGAATGGGGTCTGCAATTTTATCTAATGCATTAAGATAGCCATTACACCAAGTAGAGGCACCTAAAGGCCTGGTTATGCCAACTTTGCTAATACTAGAACATATTTTTTCAGCATGTGTAGTAGCATTTTTCCATAAATGGGAGATAATGGCTTCATCTTTTTTCGGTGTATCACGTAAATCTTTTATATATTTTTTAATCCACCTCTCTGCCGATTTCTGCTCTAATTCATCCTTTTTTGTCCAGAGTTCATCAGGAGCGGTAATATTTATTAAAAATTTATCATCAGTAAGTGATTCAAAATATTTATCACTATTTATAAATCTGGCACAAAGACCAACTACACTCTTTAGGTAATAATTGACATCTATCTTTTTGTTAAGTTTTTTTGCCACATCTGGGTATTCCATACAATCCCCTACTTTCCATGATATTTTCTTCCCATACTCATCATATTGATCTTCCCTTTCCACCACTATACACTCAAAGCGCTCTCCAGGTTCTGGGATATCGTAAAGATATGGATCGGGTGTTAATTCCTTTTTTATAAGCCGTTTGGATTCCTCAACCTCACGAGCATGATTAGATTTCATTCGATAGATGAAACGTTTAACAGACTTATTATCTTTATCGGGTTTCCATGCATAAGTTCGAATACATTCATTAATATCTATCTGAGATGAATTTTTCACTATGTTTTTAAGGACCTCTTCAACAATCTGGTATAATGTTTTATTATTATCAATTTCCATAGATTCTCGCATAATCTCCTTACCTATTTTGCGAAAGAGCTTAGACTGCCCCCGTTTCACAATATCTATACCTCTAATAAAAAGCTTATCTGGATTTGGATCGAAGTTAGGTTCTTCTATATGTTGAATACCGTAATATTTTTTCTTACCTGTAAATACTACTGGGAATAAAACCTCTTCATAGGCCATTTTTAGATAAGTAGCTCCGTTATCTTTTTTAAGAAATTCATTTACCACATCACGAAGCTCCCCCATTACTCTCATAGAAATTTTTACCATTTCATTCCAGTATTTTTCTTTCGTAATCCCATTTCCATTATCATAAGCTATATCACATTCTTGGAAATATTCTTCTGGACAAACTAAATATAAAGAATCCGTATCTCCATATTTTATTTTAAAGCCTTTATTTTTAACAAAATCTGCTACAAGCTTAATGTTCCGTTGACCAGCTGATGTAACCCCTCCAGCAAGTTGAAGCGAAAAGAAAGGCGATTCATTATTTCCGGCTTCACCGTAGAATGTGTTCATATAAACTTTTAAGGCAGTCTGCTTTGCATTTAAACAAGCATGATCGAAGCAGATGGAATTATATTCTACCATAAATTCATGGTTATTTTTATTAATAAAAGGATGTAATTTTTTAGTAAGTTTATCGCGATTTTTCTTTTCTGCATTTCCCAAGACACGTTCAATAGCTTCCAGTATCGTTCGCTCACCTTCTATGTTACTCAATATTAATTCCATATTTTCCTTTTTTTCGCTTAATGGGGCAAGACATTTCTTCATCTTATTCCGCTTCATAAGTAGTTCTTTCAAGACTATTACATAAAGTCCTTCCATTTCTGATTGATTTTCATGTTTTACTGACCATGCAATAATATCGCGACCATTGAACTCGAATTCAATCCTATGGAGCTTCTTACCACTGCGTGCTACGGATATTGCATGCTCACGGGATAAAATAATTTTATCGGGAGAGAGATTATATGTCATAATAAGACTTGGATATAATGATGCGTAATCAAGACCGGTTACAGGGCGTTTATTTTCAAGCCCCTTTTCTGGTGGAAATACATATGCCCCGGGGTATTTACCACTTTCTGTTTGCTTTTGTGGAATCATAGAATTTAAAAATCCTAGTTCCCATGCTCGACTAGCTAAAAGATTTTTTACCTTCATTCCATCAGCGAAATAATGTGCATCAAATAAAAATAGAAATGATATAGAAACTTTCTCTCTATATTCATTGATTACATTATGCTTGACCATTAACCGCTGACAGCTAAGAGCATCGTTAATGCAGTATTCAGCCACTTCACGCATCTGCCCAGCCGTTGTATTATTTGTTTCTTTTAATGCCCTTTCATAATATTTGTTCATACGGTAATTAGGCAGATCTACTTTGTTATCGAGTTTACACTTTTCTAAATAAAATGCAAGACTGCTTTTCTCGGCTTTAGAATATAATTTCTTAAAACAGGGTCGGACATCAATAGCCACACATCCAGGGATTTTGAGATGTTTCGAATGGAAGTTTGCATCGTTTATTTTTATCACATTATATTGATATTGCCATTTTGTAATTTTTTCAATACTTAAAGACTCCGGTGACATGTGATTAAACATCCATTCAAGAATTCCTAAATTCTTAGCTTTTTCTACGACAAAAGGCCAATCATATTGCGAATCATTAAAACCTATCTGTATATCGGGAGCTAAATATCCCCAACATAATGCAAATGCCTTAAGCAAATTGGTTTGATTTCCACATATCACTGTGGTCCACCTAGGATTTGGTTTCGTCTCCACATCAACTAAACATATTTGCGTCAATGGATTGGGATCATCTTTCCAATGTATAGTCATACAAATCATAAAAACTCGATCCTCTTCATTTTTCGCTATAGGTAAATCTCCCATTCCACGGCTACTATGTGTTTCTATATCCCATGTAAGAACAAGTGTTTTATCTCGGAATAAAGCTGGAGCAATTAATTGGTTTTTATACTCATTCTCATCGATTGGTTTATAATCATCTACAGGTACTCGAAATAAGTTTTTATCGTGTATATAATCATATAATGTCGCCCAACTAGAAAGAGGTAATCTTTTTTCACGGGCTATTTTTCGGTAATAGTATCTACAATTTAGATCATCAGATGCGGTTTCCATGCCGGACTCACAAACTGCTTTCAACGCATTATATCGATCATATTGATTCCATGTTGTTATACGAATGTATGGTTTCTTTTCTGTATGGTAACCGCGAACTGGGAAAGCATTGATAATCTTGGTTCCAAATTTCGATGTTCCTTTGAGAGTTGTAGACACGATTTTAACTAAGCTACTTTTAAATATAGCTAGTGGTTCTCCATCTGGGACGATAACATCGAAGAAAGGTTTGATACCTGTAATATCTAACCTAGCCTTTTGCCCATTAATCAAAGTGCCGTAAATACGTAGAATATATGTAGATACCCCATTTATATATTCAGTGGC